GTTTATCCCCTCCCTCTAGACAGTGAACCAGTTTATTTTTTTGTTTGTTTCAATTCTAGGGAGAAAGAGAAGGAGCCCTAGTGGTGTGGTGTTGTGGTTACTCATTGGGCTACTAATCACAAGGTCATCAGTTCGAAACCACCAGTCACTCCTTTCAAGCATTACCATCTTAGAGACTCACAGGGGCAGTTCCACCCTGTCCTAGAGGGCTGCTGAGAGTCAGAAGCCACTCTGTGGCAGTGAGTTTTGCTTTTGTTTTTTGAAGTGGAATAAGGGGAGCAGGGTCCATGGTAGACTTCTCATCTTGCATGTGAGACCAGGGTTCGATTCCCAGACAGTGAAGACCTGCGTGTTGATATTAAATGCAAGAGCTTTGGGCAGAGCTTCTAGACTAAGACAGACCAGGAAGAAAGGTCTTCTGACAATCTGCCAATGGCAGTGGTCCCCTCTGCAACCCATAGTGGGGTGATGCAGGACCAGGCCACATTGTGTTCCTTTGTGCGTGGGTAAGGAGTCATGGCCAATTGCACGGCTGGCCAGTTCCCTCTCAGTCATCTCTCGGGCAGCAGGGGTTGGGTGGCTGCTCTGCATCCTGTCCCGGGTAGTGCACAGGATGGTCAAGGCAGGCTCAACACGTGGGCTCAGAACCTGAGGGAGGGGACTGTGTGGCGGTGGCACACTTACATATGAGCATGTGTACACACACACAGAACAGCTGAGTGGCCTCACAAGACCTGGGCTCTCAGGACCATGGTTAGCAGAGCAGAGCCAAGCTGCCTGCCTCCAGATTCCCTGGGGAGCTCATTGCCAAGGCCATTTTCTGATCCTGCAGCAGCGGTGAGCCTGAACTCAGGAGATCCTAGGTGGGGCCCAGGAATCTAGGTGTCTAACAAACCTTCCTGGGGCATCTAACGTGCAGCTTGCTGTGAGAACCATGGATTCAGGCCAGCCAGGAAAGGACGTGGCTTGCCCAAGGGCACAGCGGCTGGTCAGTGGGAGAACTGGGACCACTTCAGGCTGACTGGTGCTTCTTTTTACTGCTCTCTGCCTGTTTCTGATTAGAGATGTGTGTCTGAGTCCAGTGAAAACCAAAATGAACCCTGGGTTGATAGAGAAACGAATCCAGAAACGCTCATATGTGTATGAGTAATTGTATAGTAAGAAAACAGCCCAGCCCCCATCAAGCCCATAAATCCTTCTTAAAACTCACACAGTCGCATGCCATGATGCTGAATACAGAAAGATCAGATACCAGTGGGTACAAAGTCTTGTGGATCCAATGGCAGTGGAAGCATCTCAGCGCAGGTGTAGGTCTCCATGTGGTTCCTCTGGCTCTCCTTGTGTAGCTCCACACAGCTGGTCAACAGGGAGGTGAAGCAGAGAATGTGGCCCACCTCCAGGGAGAAAGAGAGGAAGTTCCCAGAATCCCCGAGAAGGCCACACGCACAAGGAGGCATTGCCAGGCTGTAACCTGATTGACAGGCTAAACTCCACCCCTACATTTATTGATCAAGTCGATACGAAATTATGTAATGACCACACCCCTCTTTAGTTTATCTGTGTTTTCATTATTCACATCTCAGTCCCTACTCACTTATTCAAGCAACTAGGAATTGACATGTGGTTGTTGTTACATGTCATTAAGTCCCTTTGGACCGACTCATAGCAGCCCTGTATACAACAGAATGAAGCACCCCGTGGTCTTCATGATTGTTCTTGTGTGTGAGCCCATTGTTTTAGCCACTATGCCAATCAAGGGAGAGCCTGCCACTTTTTCACTACCCCGCTACTTTATGAAACATAATGTCCTCCAGGATCTGGTCTACTGATAACATACCCAAAACAGGGTCTGAAGAATTGACCCTAGTTATATCTTTTTTTGGAGTCAATGGGTGGTACAAATGGTTCGGGCACTTGGCTGCTAATGTTGGCGGTTTGAGTCTGCCCAAAGGTGCCTTGAAAGAAAGGCATGATGATCTGCTTCCTAAAACACTACAGAGCACAGTTCTATTCTGACTCACTTGGGGTCATCGAGAGTCGGTACTGACTCAGCCATAGCTGACTCAGTTTCATATGTATAAACTCCCTTAAGTCACTGCTTCCTCTGGACTGCCCTTCAGCGTCCTCTGTGCTATCAGGACTGCAAAGTCAGATTACCCCCAGGCCTGCCTAGCTCCCACATCTGCATCAGGGCCCTCTTACTCAGGGCCCCGAGTGAGTGACCTCTGGTTCCCACTCTCCTGGTTTGCCTGAAAGAGGTGGTGGGTTGTCCTGACTCAGGTCAGATGCTAGAGGAATTGGGTTTCCAAACAGAGTGGAAAGTCACAGAAAGCCCTGCCTCTTGAGGAGCCAACGGTGGCAATTGGGTTCAGCTCCACACGACTTTATTAAAGGCCTCTCACACTTGGGGCCTTTCGACAAGACGGATTGGCACCAATGGGCTGAAACATAAGAGCTATTGTGAGAATGGCACAGGGTCACCGTGGGTCAGAACTGACTTGAAGGGGCACCTCCCCACAGCAGACTCAGGGCCACTGCTTGGTGCTGCCTCTGAAGGAAGCTGAGCTAGAGGAGCAGGGAACAGTGGTCCTCCCCCAAGTGACACTGTCTCGTGCTTCCCAGCATTCCCCCTGACCTCCTAGCCCAATGCCTCAGACAAAGGAAAGTGCATGCCCCACCTCTGGCTTCTGGGGAGTGGTCTGTTCCCAGTGCTGGACCTGTCCTGGGGGTGATTAGGAGGTTGCTGGGCCACCCTGTCCAGACAGACTGTGTGGCTTGTAAGAGTCCCTGATGTGACAAGAAGTGGTGCCCAAGCCAGAGCGCTGGCAGATGTGTTTCTAACTAGCCCTGTCTGCTTGCTAAGCTTCAGGTGGCTCAGCACACAGATTTGGATGGAGGTGCTGTGCACCTCAGGGGAATCGTGGATGACGGGAGAGGATGCACTTGAGGATGTACAACATGCTGGGAAGCACGGTGCAAGCAGAGTAGTGGCTTATTAAAACCATTCATTGTTTGTTCTGAAAGAGCGGAACATTCCAGAACATCCTTAAGGGATGATCTCATCTAACTCCTTGCAAAACAGAACCCTTTCCCTACAGGAAACCTTACAACTAAGCCCAATAAATAGAAGGAGGGAGTGGGGCAGTGTTGATCGGGAGGAAGTGGGGGAGACAGCCTTCTGCCAGCAAGGGAATGGGTGAGAGGCTCTTGCTCAGCCCTGCTGGACCCAGAGGAGCACCGTCTTCCCATTCCCCATCCAGGTTCATTTATTGGGGGCTCGTACAACTCTTATCACAATCCATCCATCTTGTCAAGTTATTCTTGAGACCTGCTCGAGGTCGCATAGCTCTATGTGTCTGTCTCCGCATTGTTGTTGTCAGGGGGCCCCAGGCACAAGAGGATGAGACCCTGGTTGGCCCTGCCTCATCTCCTTCAGACCGTGGTGGTCCTCAAAGACAAAGCTTCCATGACTAACTTCTCAAAAGAAAAAAAAAAAGCAACAGATATCAGAACCCAAAGCCCTAGATCACAGATCCACCCAGGAGCCCAATCACATCACCTTGGCTGTGTCAGGAGGTGGCTGGTTTTCTTCCCCAATTCTCAAAGGAGGGGGCAGAAGATTTGGCAAGCCAGGGAGCACCACCCCACGCAGGTGGTAGTTGCGGACTCCTGATTTGTGGTCAGCAGATCAATGCCACCAGGGCTCTGAGCTGCAAATCTTTACAAGAGCAGACAGCTTCATCTTTCTCCATAAGAGTAGCTGGTGGATTTGAACTGCCAGCCTTGGAGTTAGCAGTCCAATGCTTACCCAGCAGCACCATCACAGTTAAGTGACATTATGTTTATTGTGTTGCTCAACCATCGCCATTCATTGGTTCATGAGCTTCTCTTCTGTCCATACTTTTGGTCCCTGATCCAGGGACTCACATAAAAAAGACAAGAGATACTGCCTGCTGCTCCCCACAAGTTCAGATATGGAAGGGGTGGAAACATGCCCCAAGGTATAGCTTCCCTGTGTGACGTGGGTAGAATAATCAGACCTTGGCCCAGAGGAAAGCCCTCTAATATGTGACTTACACTGTGCTCTGCAGGATTTATTGCTTTTGTCACTACGTGCCCATTGGCTTTATGCTGGTCAATGGCTCCATTATGTGGCACTGAGCCCCCGAGCCTTGATTGCCTCTTCTCTAACAGCGGGGTGACAGGAATTAACACGAAAGGGTTCTTTGCATGACCCAATAGTTATCATTACTAGGACAAGTGTGCATGCACGTTCCTCTACTGTGAGCTCCCCAAGGACCAGGAGAGCTTTCGTGGGAGACTTAGCGACCACACTCACTTCGGGTTCAGGTCTGGGGAAGGCACTGGAAGCTTTGCCTGTAGCCCTACCTGGGAGGGGCCTGTTCACTGAGTGCTATCGCCTTGGCCTATGACTTACAAGGTACACCAGAAGTACTTCCTCTCACCCACCTCAGAATCAGCTGAAATTCAAAACACCATGCTCCTCTTCTCCCTTGGGGCTGCTGGTCTTCTGGTAAGCGGCCCAACACACAGTCCACTGTGCTACCAAGGTGCCAGGATCTCCTGGGGAGCTTTTGGAATGACAGATGCCCAGCCTGGCCCTCTGGAGACCCAAATGCACTCCGGTTTATACTACAGTCAGAAGAATGATTTTTTTTTTTTTTGCAAAGCTCCCCAGGTGATGCCAAACTTCAGCCAGGGATGGGTGAGAGGCCAGGGCCGTCTCTGGGGAGGATTCCACGTGGAGTCACTGGCTCCTGGTTCCAGGCTTACTTCTCTTGAAGGAGATGGTGATCACCGATTCCTGGCTGTTGGAAAAGCTGGGGGGAAAAAGTCCGTGGTGTCCACCGCTGCTCGGGGCCCAGGAGGTCTTGCAGGCCTGAGCACAGCCCACGGGGGCTTCAGCTCCTTGGAGAGCTCTGTGGCTGGAGCCGCTGTTCCCCGGGCTTAACGGGTGTGTGTCCTGGATGTCGTTTCAGATCGTGTTCCGGAAGATCAGCGACGTGAAGCGGGAGGAGGAAGAGCGGAGGAAACGCAAGAACGAGGCCCCCCTGATCCTGCCCCCCGACCATCCTGTGCGGCGTCTCTTCCAGCGCTTCCGACAGCAGAAGGAGGCCAGGTTAGCTGCGGAAAGAGGGGGGCGGGACCCGGAGGACCCGGATGTGGAGAAGGGCAACGTCCTGGCAGAACAGGCCTCCGTCCATCACAGCATCGTGAAGGCCAGCGTCGTCACGGTCCGGGAGAGCCCCGCCACGCCCGTGGCCCTCCAGCCGGGCCCCGTCTCTGCAGCGGCACCTGATCATGCCAAGCTGCACGCGCCGGGCTCTGAGTGCCTGGGCCCCAAGGCGGGAGGGGGCGACTGTGCCAGGCGCAAAGGGTGGGCCCGCTTCAAAGATTCGTGTGGCAAGGGGGAGGACTGGAACAAGGTCTCCAAGGCCGAGTCCATGGAGACGCTCCCCGAGAGGACAAAGGTGTCAGGGGAGGCCACGCTGAAGAAGACGGACTCCTGCGACAGCGGCATCACCAAGAGCGACTTGCGGCTGGACAACGCCGGCGAGGCCCGCAGCCCCCAGGACCGGAGCCCCAGCTTGGCCGAGGTCAAGCATTCGTTCTACCCCATCCCCGAGCAGACGCTGCAGGCCATGGTGCTGGAGGTGAAGCACGAGCTGAAGGAGGACATCCAGGCCCTGAGCACCCAGATGACCAACGTGGAGAAGCAGCTCGCTGAGATCCTCAGGATCCTGGCCTCGAGGAGGTCCTCCCAGTCGCCACAGGAGCTGTTTGAACTCTCCCGACCCCAGTCCCCAGGGTCAGAGAGGGACATGTTTGGAGCGAGCTGAGGGGCCTGTCACCCGAGGAAACCACTTCGTACAGGCAGAAGCCTACCAGTCTGCCCTAGACACCTCCACTCTCCACCACCAACTCCTTTCCAGTGGGACCACTCACTGGGCATTCCTGCCTCCTCCTTCCGCCCACCCTCCTCTCTGGAAGAAGACACTTGCCACCCCCCAGCAAGCAACTACAGCTGAACTGTCTTGCACAATTTTGGAGGAGGGGCAAGCTGTCCAAAGGGTTATTTTCCTTCGTTTGTAGAATTTTTTTTAACTACCATGGTATTTATAAAAGCTCAGAGCACCTGAGGGCCTCTCATGTACATACCATGCTGGGCATCTCCGTCAAGACCCTTCTGACCTCACCATATATTTTCCTACAGCAGTCATTTGTACCAAGTCTGGGACAAGGTGGGCATGGAGGGGCAAAGAGGAGAGAGTCCTCTCCACTTCATGTCCCCAATGACGGAGGCCAGAGAGCAGGTGCTGTGGGTGTCTCCCACACACCCATCGAGCCGGGAATCCTCAGGTGCCCTTGTGGTCCTGGGGCTCTCTGTTCAGTGCCCCCTCCCTGCCGTTGACCTCACCTACTCATTTCTCTTCCTCCCCAGGGTTTCCGTGAAGATCCTCAGGGTGTGGGGCATTGGCAGGAAGGGTCATGAGCCCAGAGTTGCTTTATTAACATACACACACACAAAACCTCAGAAACAAGCAGTTCGTCCATAGCATGGGGTCACTAGAGGATGCATGGAATTCATGCTTGGCATTATTATTAACACAGCCTGTCTCTGACTGAAGTCAGTAGGGTTTCAAGAGAAGCCTAGAAAGGATAGAGGGACCATGGCTAGACCTCCTACAGGGGTTGGGACAGGAGAATGAAGTGGCAGGCCCTCATGGCATCCCTGTGTGGGTGCCAGTGCTCTGAACTGTCCAGTATCAAGCAAGCACCAGTTGGTGCATGGACAGAGTTGTTTGTGACTCCACAGATGGCAGGGCACAGTGCTGCCCAGCCCCACCATCAGGATCGAGGTCCATAGGTGTGGCCACTAGGGTGTCATCTTGCAGTGCTCCACTGGACACAAGTCTGCTAAGATCCATCGGGGTTTCAGTTGCTAGTTTGGGGAAATAGTGTGTTTATCTTAATCTGCAAGTTCCACAGAAAGCTCATCACCATGGTGACCCTGCTGACATTTCAAACAATGGAGACATAGCTGCCAGCATCGCGGCAACATGAAAGCCACCCCAGCATGGCAAACTGACAGGTGGTGAGAGCAAGTAACTGAAAAGTCACTCGGTATTGGAATGAACATTTAGACTTTAGAAAAAATATACGGAGAGATGATTGCTCTAAAGAGATCTACACACACACACACACACACTTACTTCTGGAGATGGGTATATCTAATATGCTGCATCCTTGCCCAGTTATTGTATTCTAAATTCTTTCCTGTGGGCATGCTTTGTTGGGAAGCTCCATTTCCCAGAAAGGCAGCTTTGGAATAGGGAGAGCCTGCTCCTAGGATTTGGATGCTTGTTCAACATGTCCTGCCCTCACCATGCCCCTCATCCCAACCCCCCAGTTGCTCTCAATAATGTGGTGGGTGTGAGTGAAGACGGAGGGTGTAAGATGGTCAATGGGATGGTAGGTGTGATCTTAGTCGAGAGTACTGGCTCACCAATGCCTGCTGCCATCCCATGCACCCACACAGGGCTCCTTCACTGGGCATCCTGTGATCGCCAAAGGAAGGGACGCAGCCCGGGTTGAGAAGCCTGGGTCTAAGGCACCATTTTGTCCTATTTTTGCCCACTCTCTTTATATTCTTGACCTCCACCAAGGCTGAAGGGCAATGAGTCCCAGTGCAGGCAACCAGTGACTTTACAAATCCGGATGCTACAGTAACACGTGCCCAAGCACTTTTAGAAGTAATGGATATTGCTTTGATTTCGTCTTGTTGCCCACCGGGACCTGTTTTACCCTCAGCCTCTTAGGTCCTAGATGTTGTTGTCAGTCAAACATCGGGGCCCTTTCCCAGACTCCTCCTCTTTCAGCACTAAGACAAGCATTGGGTAATGATACACTCCCACTCACCCACCAAGCTGCCCTCGAGAATCCTTGGGTGGACAGTGAAGATACGGAGTCCATGCTCAGGTTGTTTGTCCAAGTCTGCAAGGGGGCTTCTTTCGAAATGCCAGGTACAGGCAGCTCCTCCTCTCTCCACTGTTGCACTGACCACCGTTTCTCTCTGCGCACCCACTCTGGGCAAGGTCAGGAGCCCCGGGGGGGAGACAAGTAGCTGATGTGCTTTCGATCTTATTGTACCATGATCTGCAATAAAGACATTGAGCCTTAAGACCCTTTGGATGGAACTCCAACTGTGATGGAACTGCCAACACCCCGTCCTCTCTCCTCCCTCCTCCCTGTGTTGCTCCAAGAGGGGGCCTTCTGTCTCCCCAGACAGCCTGTCTGCTGTCAGTAAGTCATTTCTATTGCTCCACACACTGCCTTCTTCCTCGCTTGAATGAAAATGAACTTCACCAGCTCCTGTGCCATCCAGTTGGAAGAAACCTTCCTCGTCCCCTCAGCTCCAACAGCACCCATCCCAGCAAGCACCCCTCTGCTCACGGACGGTGTCCGCCCTGACCACTCTTCCTTCTGCCCCTTCCACAGTTCCATGGAATGTGAATCTACTTGCCACTTACGCGCATTTCAGATGAAACTTCATTCTCATGCAAGCAGACTTATTCTGGAACCTCTGGGACCTGGTGGGCGCCTGCCCTGCCTGCCATCAAACTCTTTTCTGAGGACCCTGGTTTCTTTCTCAATCTGTGACCCACGACGAGTCATCTGACGGATCCACCCTTTGTTCAATGAGAAGTTCGTCGATCTTGTCATCAGGAGACGAACTGAGTTTTGTTTTTTTAATGTTAAGACGCCACACCTCTAATGAATGTATTCTCTTACTATTCAGACGCTGTGTTTGTGCATCCGTTGGTGGTGATCCACACGCGAGCCTAGCTATCGCGGCAAGGACACTTCTGCTTATGCACGGTTGGTCCTTCTGGGGCTTCTCCTTCTACTGACGCTCTTTCCATTGAGGCCTGCCAAATTCTTTACTGGGTTCTTCGTTTTCCTTTGCATCTGTCACTTTGTCCAGATGAGCATGAAGAAGCAGACGTGCAAACGAGGTGATACTATTGGTATGGTCAGCTGAGGCTGCCGCCTGGCGCCCCCTGGCTGGCTGTGGCTTGGGAATGTCACGGGGAGGGACATGGAGGCCCCTCGTGGACGATATTGCCTCAACATTTTTTTAAACAAGCACAAATGATCTTTGTAAAAAGGAAGAAAAAAAGTTTAATTTTATTTATTATGGTAATAAACTATTTTATACATGATCCTTGCTTTGGCTTTTCCTTCCTTGGGTGTTCTGACCTAAGACGACAGAAGGATGGAGCGTCTGATGCCTTTCCCGGCACTTAGGAATCGCTAGCTTTGGTTTTGTGTTGGTAAACATGTTGACATTTGCCATGTCGACAGTCGTCACAGGCGCAATTTAGTGTCATGAAGTGTGGTTATCACACTGTTCTGCCACCACCAGATTCCAACCCCACTCCCCTGGCCTGCCCCGCAGAGCTTTGCATTATGGAAAGCTCTGCTATGGCTAGCAGTACGATTCCAGAGAAGCCAGGATTTTATGTCACCGATAGGGAGAGGATCAATGTGCGGGCGCTTGGTCACGTTTCTGTTGGGTGCCGTTGAGCCAGTGCCGGCTCACAGCCACCTCACGGACAACAGCATGGGACACTGCCATCCCCCGAACTATTGCTCTGATTGCGCCCACTGTTGCAACCACTGCGTCCATCCAGCTCACAGTGGAGCCTCCTCTTTTCTGCTGACCCTCGGCTTTTCCACATATGATCTTCTTCTCCAGGGCCTGGTCCTTCCTAATAACACCCAACGTCTATGAGATAAAGTCTTCCGACCCTCCCTTCTGAGAATTCTAGCTGTACTTCTTCCCAAGCAGATTTCTCCCCTCTCTTGAAATCCATGGTATATTCAATATTTGTTACCATAATTCAAAGGCATCGCTTCTTCTTCCATGGGCAGATGGGGTGCCTGAAAATAGAATGGGTTAGGCCAGGTGCACTGCAGTCCTCAAAATGACATTGCTTCCCTGGCCTTCAGCAGACCTGCCTTGGGCAAAACTTCACAGGCTGTCAGAGAACCTTGGAGGGCAGCGAGATGCCTTCAAAACCCGGCATCACTAGAAAAGCACGGGACGACATATAAGTATGCTCACGTATATGTCCAGCTGATCTTTCCTGGAGAATAAAAATGGTTAAAATCTGAACCATCTGTGTGGAAATGGGTAGGAAACATGTTAGTTCTTACCAGTGGTTACAATATAGTTTGGGAAAAGCATAACTGAATGGCATTGTGAGGCCTGGCCTATGCTACAGGTCACCAATGGGCCCCAAAGGTATCAAGACAGAGGAATGCTTGCCTCTAGACCAGCAGTCCCATACAGCAGCGCTGCCTCGGTCCTGTGGATATTTTAACAGGCATTGCTTCTTGCTCGGAACAAGAGTCCACAAACAAGAATTCCACCCCCAATTCCTATTGAGTATTTAACACTCAATACCCAACGTGCCCAGGGGATGTGTTGGGGTAGGCTTTGGGCTGCTAAGGAGGACACACTCCGCAACTGAAACCACCCGCTGCTACTTGAGAACAAGAGAAGTCTGTTTTGGTCATAATTTACCATCTCAGAAGCCCTAGATGGCGTCCCTGTTGAGTTGGAATTGGCTTGATGGCAGTGAGTTTGATTTGGGGTATATTTAATACCCATTTTTAAATACCTCATCCCTTTTTTGAGATGGTCTAACCTAATTCAAGGCTGAGGAATCAGTGATCCATAAGCCAAATTCAGGCATCTGCTTACCCTCATTGGGCCAGGAATGAATATAGCATTTTTAATGAGGCTCTCCTCACCCCTCCTGATGTAATTACATTGCAGAAAGGAAGGTGTCATAACACTAATCTAAGGGCGGTCTTGTTTAAACTCTCAAATAACTCATGTTCGTTTGAAAACAACAACAACAAATAAATTCATGGCCATCGCGTCAATTCCAACTCATAGCAACCCTACAGGACAGAGTAGAGCTGCCCCTATGGGTCTCCAAGGATTGTCACTCTTTACAGAAGTAGAACGTCTCATCTTTCTCGTGAGGAGCGACAGGTGGTTTTGAGCCTGCTGACCTTGTAGTTAGCAGCCCAGTGCATAATCCCCTGAGAGTTTAATGTCAAAACTGTATCCCCGTGAAGCCCCAACATCATGTCCGTTAGACAGCCTTCAAGTTGAATGTTCTAAAGAAGGGGTGAGATAGAGCCAAGCCATGGCACATTTTGGATTTCGAGCTGGTTGCCTTTATGCAGAAAAGAGGGTAATTTGGGGAAGGTAGGCCGAGAGGCTTTCTGGAAATGTACTGCCACAAGCTGATGCAATGGCTTCTTGCGATGACCACACTGAGGGGCGCCTATACAGTGAACACTGACAAAAACACCCACCCATTTTGGTTAATGTGCCTTCTTGGTCGAAGCACTATATTATTATTAAAAGTCTGCAAAATGAGCCATCTTGATTTCTCTAAAGGAAACCTCCTCTCACCCTGCCGACTCAGCCACTGTTCTCCCAATAGCCAGACCACTATACAATTCTCTGTATAATTGATCTCTCTTCTCTCTAAGGCTCTAGCCCTCAGTATACCCAAAGATCACAGCAAAGTGATCACAGGGCACAGTACAATGCTTGGAGGTCTTCCTGCATGGTCCCCAAGAATCAGTCTAAATGACCGGGGCTTAGCAGTGCTTTAGACGTCTGACTGTCCTCTGTGGGGTTGGCCTTGGCGGTTCTGCACAGAACCAGTTTGGGATCAGAGAATCCTGGGGCTGGAACGGACCTTGAGGCTTGTCTAGTCTGTTTCCCAGCATCATGTGAGAGACTGCACAGGGTGTGTGGCCGTGGAAAGTGATGTGTCAGATGGGCCTCAGCTGGAATGGCTATCTTCCCAGGGACCTCAAGATCTTTTCTTCTAAATAACTCTGAGAGCTTAGTTCATATGCATGAAGGAGGAAGTGCTATCATTTCGCAGTGCGGAGAAGTGAGAGGTTCAAACAGGAAGATGAGGGCCTGGGATAAGTTACCCTGATGGTGTAGTGGTTACTCATTGGGCTGCTAACCAACCATCAGGTCAGCAGTACAAAACCTTCTGCTGCTCCTCGGGAGAAAGACAAGGCTGTCTACTCCCGTGAAGAGTTACAGTCTCAGAAACCCACAGGGTCCGTTCTACCCTGTCCTGTAGGGTCACTATGAGTTGGAATTGACTCAATGACAGTGAGCTATTTTGAGTGAGTTGGGGGCCACTAGTGACCTGTCCAGCATCTTTCTAGAAGATTGAAAAAAATCCAGGGTTAACAGATATGTTTAGATTTTCAATATTTTCTTAAAAAAAAAAAAACCCTTCGAAGGAATTTTATACAATATGTGAATTATGTACATGATATAAGTGGCTCCATTTTATTTGAAACAAACAAAAACAAAACACTGAGTATATAGGAAGGCAACTGTTTGGAGAATTGAGAAAATGACACACACAAATCCATGCTTTTTGTAAATTGCTTGGTAGCACCATTCGATATGTAAACTATTCCCTGGAATTTGTATGTTTGTTTGATCCATGTTTTAATTCTACCTCTTTATGGTGAAACAATGACCTATTAGGTAAAAGAACTGCCATACTTACACTTCTCAGCCAGCCTCGGGAACCAAGGAGTCAGAGCTTGCTTCCTGCGCTGAGGTTCAAATAACAAGACTTGGAATGCCACTGGGCAGCTTCCCATCTCTGCCCGTCACTGGGCAACAAGACTCAGCTATGCCTTCAGCACCTTCCTGCCAAGGAGCTGGAGCATGAAGCTTCAAAGCCTAGAATGGATTCTAGACTGCAGTGCAGGACATGGGGAAGGAAGCCCTTAAATATTACCGAAAGGTTTCAGAAATATGGTCCAGTGGAGGAAAGGTCTGTCACTAATTGGGATTGCCATGCCCTGATGAAGAGATGTATTTAATTCTTGATAAGGGAAACAAACCCAGAGGCCATTAAGGCTGAGTTCACAACACTCGACTGCACAATCTCAGCCCAGAAACCAGGGACACAATGGGCTGGGAGGTAAATGCTTTCTAAGCCCAGGTATCGAGAAGCTTCTGTGGCTGGACAGTCTCTAGGAGAGCCCAGGCTTTAATCCTGGAGGGATATAACCTGAGCAGCAGAGGAGTGGATCAGACACTGGTTTCTCGGAGACCGTCCTGGGGTGTGAGGTCAGGGTGAAGCACCGTTTGTGGAGGACATTGGCAGGGAAGGCTGTCCTGGGGCCCCGCAGCGTTAGTCCTGGGTGTATGTCTGGGCCCAGGCAATGCCCACGTGGGAGTAGCAGTACAGGAATCCCAGCACAGAGAGGGTCGCCCACGGCCAGCCTATGAGGAGAAAAGCATGGGAGAATTATTAGAAACGCCTGAGGTGGGCCCTCTTTGGGAGAAGGCAGCCTGAGAAGCAGCATCGTCGACACAATGAGACTCTTCCCTCCTGCGACATTTGCCCTAATGGGAAGTGCAGCCCATGAGCGCTCGCTCCATTCCCACTGGCCTCGGCAGAAAAGGGGGAAATGCATGACCTCAACAGAAACCAAGTTTCAAAATAAGGCAAACGTTTAAAGAATACATATTTAGAAGTCAAAAGCAGCTAAAATAATCATTTTTACAAGTCCAGGAGTCCCCTGGTAAAGCTCAAACAGGGACTGACCATCGTATTGAACCAAGGACGACTGAGAAGCACACAGAAGAGGGAAACTAAATATTTGCTTTCAAAAGTCAAAGTTTTAAGGGCTTCCTTCTGCATGTCTCTGACTTAAAAAAAAGAATTCCCAGGCCTTCCTGCTGAGACGGTGTTACTCAACACTCTCCATGCCTTCTCCACGGTTCCCTCATTCAGATATTTTCTGGGACAGTTGCAGAGCCAGGCATGCTGTAGAAGAAACCAGATGCTAACATGCTGCTGCTGTTGTTGGTATTGTTAGAGGCCATCGGGTCGGTTCCACCCCATGGCGACCATATGCACATCAGAACGAAACACTGCCTGTCCTGGGCCATCCACCGTTGCAGCCACGCTGTCCATCTGTCTTCTTGAGGGCCTTTCCCTGTTCTGCTGCCCCCTTGACTTTATCCAGCATGATGTCCTTCTCCAGGGACTGTCTCCCCTTAGAGGCTACAGTAGGAAGATTCAGACCTGCGTCAGGGGTGCTCCCACTCCAGCTGGGAGAAGGCAGCCGCTCAGTCCTACCATGCATGCTGCAAGCAGTGCGTGTACACTAGAGACTGCTCTACATGGAGTGCATATCACCCAGACCATGTAGGATAGTAAGAGTTTGCCATCTATAAAAGGGCAGGGACAAGCTACCAGAGAGACTCCACATGATGTGTGAGTCCAGCGGGCCATCTAAGGAAGGGGGACCATACGATGTGGCTGCCGCAGAGAGCCGGAGCAGGTCGGGAAGGAATAGTGGGCATAGCATGGGGAGCCAGGGAAGGGCAGGGTAACACTAGTACTCTCTTACTGCTTTATCACGACTCTTCACTGCCATCGAGTCCCTGCTGACTCGTGGCCTCCCTGAAGGATAGGGTGGAACTGCACCATTGTGTTTCCAAGACTGTAACTCTTGACAAGTAGAAAGCCTCGTCTTTCTCCCGTAGAGGGGCTGGTCATTTCAGACTGCTGACCTTGAAGTTAGCAGCCCAACCTGTCATCACTACTCCACCAGGGCTCCTTTATCAATAATTAGCTGCTGTCATTCTTAATGAGGCATGAGTATATCATCACCAGAAGGATGAGGCTGTCTACATCTGTCAAGACTTTAAGGGACAGAAACTCAGGGGACTGCTCTGAGTTGGGACCCACTTGATGGCCGTGCATGTGTCTTGAATGTCAGAAAGACATGATGCAGCAGGTCACTGGGCAAGCTCTGAAGTGGGACATGAATTCAAACCCTGGGTCCACCACCTACCAGGGGCCAGCAAACACACCTCAGCAGTCAAAGAGGGAATAGACTTATAAAGATGGCATCGCTATGGGCAGACATGCATAGTGCCTGGCCCAGGGTAGGCACTACAAAAGGGAGCCCTAACTGTGGTCCTCAGGCAGGGAGGTCTAGTGAGACCAAGATGAGACTGGACTTGCTCCGAACGCTGATTTTCAACTTGGTCCTTAAACTGACTTGGCATGAGAATCCAATTACACTTACAGTTTCGGAAACTAACAGGGGCAATTCTACCCGGACCTATAGGGTTGCTATGAGTAGCCAGCAAGTTTGTCTGTTTTACAGCCAAGAGAAGTCCCTGGTAAGCAGAGGGCCTCAAGCATCCTGGCTCTGGGACCAGATCTGTGGTCCCAGGTCCAGTCTACATGTCCCCCAGTATTTCCTTCTCTGGGGGATGCCAAAACAAGTGGCCCCAGTGGTGTGGCTTGGAGCCAGAGGATTGTATTCTCACAATTCTGGAGACCAGAGGTCTACAATCCAGGTGGTGGCAGAGCTGTGCTCTCTCTGAAGGCTTGGGGGGGTGGGGTGGGGAGAGGAGTGGAGGTGGGGGGATCCTTCCTCACTTCTTCAAGTTTCTAGGAGCACCATGCACCCTTTGGATTGCAGCTGCATCACGTCACAGAGCCTTCTCTGCTTCATGTGTGTTTTCTTTCTCTTATGGAGGTATCCTAAAACCCAGGGCCCATCATAGACCCAGGACAATGTATTCTCAAGAGCTTTAACTAGTGAGCCCTGCGAAGACACTGCTTCCAAATAAGGTCACAGTCTGAGGTTACAGGTGAACATGCACTTTTTTGGGAGGCGGGGGAACTCTTCAGTCCACTACAGGCTGGTCCTTTCCCGGGGACTTAGGGTGCACCCATCTGGTCTTGGGGCCCATGTGGCCTCAGACACAGAAAGCAGCCAGGGGACCTCCTGTCAACACCTGTTCCTCAGGGGGCTCAGGGAGCATGGGGAGATGAGGGGGCTTCAGGCACAGGACACCCGCCCAGGTTTCAGCTGTGTTTGGGGTGCAGCGCCAGCGGGTGTTTGGGAAACAAGGAGCTCAGTGGCTGGCTGTGGAGGTGGGTGGCGATGGGGGGTGGACAGACTTTCACTGACTCAAAGCTGCATTCGCACCTGTGATTAGCAGGAGGCAGGCCTGCCCACACAGGACTACAAGTAGGAGCACCCCCAACGGTGCACAGAGGGTAGACACACCTGGTTTTCCTTTGGGCCACTGGGGCACCCTGAACATTCTCCCCACCTGGGTGTATGCCACCCAGAAAGGCAGGCAGGCAGGAGGTGTGAGGGCCACCTTGGAAGCCTGGGTCGGCATAGTTGGCTCATCTTTCAGAGTCTCGGTTTCCTCCATCTACACAGCAGGATTTTTTAGAAAAGGCATGTGAGAGAAAATGAGCTTTGGTAGTGCTTTCTAAAAATAGTGTAGCCGAAATGCACAGGATTAATACGGGCTCCTCTGAGACCTCTGCTATGTACACAGAGCGCACTAGCCTGCCTAACGCATGAGCCGTTCCCACGGACAGTCACCCTGGGGTGTACGAGGAGGCCGCCAAGGACGCCCCTCTTTTCCTGACCTCGGGAGTAGGCTGTTTGGGGGCAAGGAAGAGACAGATGCGACAAATCAGCTTTCAATCATTGGGCAGCACCCACCCAGAAAGCACTGGCTAGGTGCCTGGCCCTAGCCAAGGTGGCTGTCTCTGCCTGTGGCCACTGCTAGCCCAGCCCTGAGAGGGTCCAGGGCGGTGCAGGCCAGTAGCACAGGGAGGGGGCTGCCTCCACTCCTCTCCACCAGCACCCAGGTGTGAGCCCGATGGTGAAAGTGGGAAGACCAGGGACTGTGCTTCACCCTAGTGACATTCTGGCAGGAGGCCCCCTCATCCAGGCCTGCCAGCCATGAACAGGAAGCTGGCCTCAAAAAGTCGTGTCCTTAAAAACAACAATAAGTTTCTATCCTTCCAAGTTGACCTTGCCCTCTAGGCCTGTCCCTCCACGCACCCCACCCCCCACCCCCACCCCACTCGGGTAGTTAACTGGGTCGTTTTGGAGAGGACCTCACAGGCTCCTGGAAACAAAGCATTCCAGCTTTGTATCTGCCGGGAACAAGCAGGAGATCTCCTGAAATCCCTCTTACTTCCTGCCTCCTAAACTAGCATGTGCGCCCGTGAATGCACTGGTGGTCTGGCAAATTAGGAAAAATGCCGTCCTTAGGATTAAAAATATTTCTTTAACCGAAATCAATCAAACCGTTATTTAATCATTTGTGTGCATGATCTATTGCTTATTGCTTGATACTTGCTTTCCTAAGGCCAACAGCTGGGCATTCGATTTTGTCCTGTGGCGATCCATGAAGCCCTGGAGATTAGTTGCAAATGGGTCTTTTTTTTGCGCTGCCTCG